TAATGATTTACAATTATTGATTTTAAATTTTATAAATATTGACTAAGGGGAAAAAAAAAAGAAAGATCACGTTAGTTTATATCTATATTCTTTTTTTCGAGAATTTTCTCGGAAGAAATGCTGGAATGGTGAGAGAGGTGAAACCTACATTGCTGCACAGTGTTGTCCAATTGGTATGTATAGAGTTTGTTCAAGGGACCTACACCAAGCTTGAGCGAGAAGTAAAGAGGAGAGGGAGATATGACTGGTTTCGAAAATCAGCTTTCGTCCCGCTCGCACAAATGTTGTCTCAGTAGCTTTCATACGCGACCGTGACACGGAACGATTCGGTCGTTGTCTCCTCACTGTCGTCGCATCATTCAATTCGAATTTTATGAGCTAGTGACAAAAAAAATTTTTTTTAATAAGTGTAATACGAAAGCATACGAAATTTTATACCATGACTGACAGAGGGTGGTTACAGGTAAAAATACTTTCAATATAAACATATCTAGTGCCAAATAATAATATTTAAATTAATAATTAAAAGTTTCGATATATTTGGTTTTTTTGTTCTTTACAATTCACAATATAAAATTCAATAATTAATGATAAAATATTTGATATCAATTAATTATGATTATTATTTTATGTGAAATTTCTATTTGGCGGTAAATGAAATATTTTTTTAAATCTATTGTGCTTGTCTTGAGTATTATGAATGTTATTAGCATTGAAATATTAACATTCAATTTGAACATTTGAAGTATTGTATATTTTCAAAACGCGGTAACATTTTCACCATTGACAATTAGTAAGTAGTAGTAATAGAAGTAAAAATTGTAATAATTAAGTTATATTCAAGGTAAAGAATTTTATCAGTGTTTTTATTTCTAGAAACAAAGAAATATTGTTTAGGTCTTTATCTCGATCATCCGATTTTATTACAAAACTAAAATGATATATATTTAATTTGATCGATCAACTTTGAAAATGTTATTTTTTTCACAGATTTTGAATTGTTTATTTTATTTAACGTGTTAAACGCAACCTATGTTACTCACTTTTTTTTAGATAATCGTATATTAAATTAAATTCACAAAAAAAATAAAATTTTTTAAGCATAAATTAAATATCACATTGCATCATTATTTAATTTTACTGGAAATGTCTAGTGCAATAAATCAAAAATCGAATGATCGTTAAATAGTTATTATATGATACTCACAAAAAAAAATTTACGCTTTGATAATTTAATCCGATTAAATACATTTTTCCAATAAAAATTCCGTTTTTTTCTTTCTTTCTTTCTTTTTTTTTTTTTTAATATGAAATATAGCAATTGTACAAATGAACGAGTAAGAACATGAAAATTATTAAAAGCATTGATCTGTTCTTTTGTTGGACAATATTATTGTTCTGCCGACATCGATGCTCTGTATCTCATATTATCTCATAAATTAATGCAAGTAAAATTCCTTTGAGAGTGAAAGGAAATTAATAAGAGATGATATTAATCTGGAAATACATGTTATGTCAAGACTTGCGTTAAGCCAAGGTTGTACTGAATAACCAACCTATATATCTACTGAAGTTGTGATACATGTAGGTGACTTTACTGTAATAATGATTTTCTAGTTACATCTAGCAAAAATATTGTGATTGAATATAACGAAAGTGTTCTTCCTTTTTTATAATTATATTTTGCATATACTTTATAAATTTGATTATCATATTAAAATATCATATTGAATAAACAAATATAAATATAAATAATCAAAAAACAAAAAAAATGATTATTTAATATTTAATTAATGTAATGAATATAAATTATTATATGCATATATGATAATGATAAGGAATGTCTTATTATAAAAAAAAAAATTTAAAAAAGTGAAATTTAAACTACATGTTTAAAGATAGAAACATTATTTAATAAATTCTTTTTTAATTTTTATTAAAATTTACTTATTAAAAAATTGTATCTATGCATTTTTAAAATATAAATTATTGAATTTCAAAAATCAGAAATTACAGTTCTTTTTCGTTGTACAAAGAATGACGTAAACTAATAACGTATGTAAAATCGCAATATTCTACGTATTATACATATTAGCTATGCATAAATAAAAGTCAAATAAGACGATTGTAAATAAGATTAACACATGAACAATATTTCAAAATTTTTATTTTATAATTTTGAAGATACGAATATACAATATCCGAAAAAAGTATCCATACATTATGATCTATTTAGTTTAAACAGACATAACTTTATAATATTTGATCAAAAAACGATCTATCTCACGTAAAAATTTAGGAAATTAATCCTGTTATAATAATAAAAAATAACTGAATTTTTTAAATTTTTATAAAACTTTTATTTAAAAAAAAAATGGAAAAGTTTGTTTATTGAATAACCTACTTAGTTAAGAATCAAAAAATCCAGCATACCATCCAAAGTTATTTTTATTTGAACGAAAATAACGTTATTCTTATATTTTCGGTTGGAAAAATTCGTCATATAATATGAAATATAAAATAAATAATATTTTTTAAAGTAAAATATATTATATAATTCGATACATTTTCTCTAATAGAAAAATTTATTTGTGCTCATATAAGTAATTTTTATATTTTATTTAAAAATATAAAACGAGTTTTTTTTATTTGTTTCTTTATTTTGTATATTTTATTTGATAATGATAAAGCATTATAATAATTTTGAAACTTATATAAAAATTCTGTTTTATTTGACATTATTACTTATACATATGTATGATTTGATTAAGAATATGTTATATAAGTGATTTAAATATTTTATACGATACTTATAATATAGAGAAATTAAAGTAGTTATTAAGAAATATCTTAAATTCTTAGAAACATGATCAAACAAATTGATAGATCGAAAATTTTGATAAAACGTTTGCGTTTGTCATCTAGTAGCTATAATTAGAATGCTTGAACTTGTGTATGCCACGAGACCGGTGTAGAAGAGGCTTGGCAACGCGAACCAATCGGCGTTACTTGGGATAGACACACCTCTGTTTCAACCAATGCCAACAAAAGTTTGCAGAACGGGAAATTTTCACATCTTCTCTCTCAACTTGTAATATGTTCGTTCCGGAAATTTTATTCTAATATATAATGAAATTAAATTTCGTAATTGGTATTATATTTTTCACCATTATTGCAAGCAACAATCGTTTCCTAATATGTCAACAGTATTATATATATATAGAAACTAATTCCAGTACGTGGATGTAAATAAACACAATTACACTATTGCATGGAATATGCTTACGAAGCAATTTCATTCGCATTGGTGTTATTTTTTTGAAATAAAATCTGTAAATTTAATCAAATCAGATAAAACATAAGTTTTATATCACGATAAAATATTTAGTGAATAGAAACAAAGTTAGATAAATCTGAAATTTTTAATTTTTAAAAATTTAAAAATAAAATTGTAGGTTATTGAAAAAAATACAAAGTACAATTTACTTGTTATTTATTTCTAAATCGATATTTATATTGTTCGTTTAAACTTTTTGGACTGATTGCAACAAAATCTTGGCTATATTCCGAATAGTAGAGTTAGTTTAATAATCGGTTAAAGACCGAATAAAAAGAAACAAAAATGAATTGTGGCAATGCTCCTATAGTAACAATATATATTCATAAAATAATCGTGTGACATTCATATATTTTCATCAAACTTGGTAAATATTCTGTTAAATATTTGTTTCCGATTTATCATTTTTTTTTTCATAAATACAAATTTTTGATACAATACGTACATAATCTATTTATATTCTGTTTTACATATATAGATTTAACAAAAAAGTAGTGGACACAAAATACAAGTGAAAGTGAACTTGAAACTTTATCGTATAGTAAAATAAAAAAACTATTGATATATATATATATATATATATATATATACAATAAGTTATAATATAATTTAAATTATTAATTATAGTTTTTATTATTACAATTTTCAATTATATTTTTGGAATAATCGACGAATAATGAATAATAAAATGAATAATAATAGAATAAAATTAAATAGGAAATATGTTAATGAAATACAATACGTAAATTTAGTTGAGAAACACTGACTGGTAAGCTTTCTTGAAGTACGTATGCGTGTCACGTACAATAGTTTGCTTAGCATGTTTGTGTGTCACAGATAGAAGCGATATAAAAATGCGTGGCGGGGGTACCGACCCGCAGAGTGGTCTTTGACACGTGCTTGAAAACAGCGGGAGCTTGTATAAGTCTATATTTTCCATAAACTATTCGAGTTAGAACATTTTAATCGCTTATCGGTACGAGCCTATTCAATTCATTGGTAAATCAATTATAATTTCTCGATGACTCTGAGAACGGTTGGATTTAAATTACGACCTTTATTTGGAAGACCGGTAAGATGCAAACAAATCTTAAATTTATCAATTAATTATATAATTAATGTGTAATATGATCTTTTTATTTTTAAAAAAAATTCAGCCAAGAAAAAAGGGAAATAAAAATATAAAATAATATATAATATTATATATAAAATAAAATATTAAAAATAAATCTTCTATTTTTTTAAATGCTCCAATATTTATTTTTCTATAATATTCTTTACAATTTAATTACAGTTAATTTTTTTAGTTCTTAAATTTTTAATAAAATTAATTATTTAAAAAAACTGAATCTGAATAAAAATTTTAACCGGATTAAGATTTTATAAAGATTTTTATTCTAATATTTGTTTAAAATAATTTGAAATATAATCAAAAGATATAATTTATTTAAGCTAGCTATATAATTTTTTTAGCTAGCTAAAAATAAAGTTTTTTAAATATAAATTTTAAGATTTTTATTAAAATTTATTAATTATTTCTTATAATAAGTAAGATACATATTTCTTTTTAACCAATTAAAAAAAAAAATTTTTTAATAAGTTTATTGTCTGACATTGATGAATAAAAAAACGATCGACTAAAAAGTAATTATCTTTATTGCAGGGTTTAAACGGACGATTAGCATTTGCTATTGCAGCTGCTGCACTTGGATCATCATTTCAACATGGATACAATACTGGTGTCGTCAATGCACCTCAGCAGGTATTTCATAAGATACATTATCAGCATTTTTTCTCACATACAATATCGACATGAAGCTACTTTGTAATGATATTTATTCATAAATTACTAAACAAAATTTTTACTTGTTCACAATAAGTGGTTACTTATTTAGAATTCTTAAAATAAATAATAATTAATTTTTATATTTAAATAATTAGTCATTTACTTGTAAACTCTGGTTTAAGTATAAAATTAATTATATTTTTAATATATATTTAAAAATATTTTATATTTATATATTTTTATATAAATAATAATTAATTTTTATATTTAAATAATTAGTCATTTACTTGTAAATTCTGGTTTAAGTATAAAATTAATTATATTTTTAATATATATTTAAAAATATTTTATATTTATATATTTTTATATAAATATTTTACATACATAGAAGTAATAATTAAGCATTTGCTTATATAATGTTTTTTTAGTTATCTTAGATTTTAATACGTATCTTTTTGTATGTTAAGTTCATTTTTACAAGCGCCACATAATCAATATTGAATATATTAAATACAATGAATGATCGTAGCAAATGACGCCATTACAAAAGTAAAAAAAAAATATATTTAATAATTGAAATCGTGATTATTTGATTTGTTTTTTTGAAAATATAATGATTTAAAAAATAAAATTCTCGGACAATCAATATTTCTATATTTTAATATTAATATTTCATTTAAAAAAATAATCTCAATTTTCGAGACTAAAAAAATTCATTCTATTTTTTCATTTATCTAAAAGATTAAAATTCGATAAATTCCCTAAATTTTCAATAGAAATAAAATTTGAATCTTTTTCCATCTATTTTCATTAATCGTTAAAAATTTAACATAGTAACATATCATTTGAATTGCTGTTATGTTGAAAAATGAATTTCTAATTTGAAATCATTTTTACTCTTTAAAATTTCTATTTATTATTGATTATTAATATTTTTAATTTCATTACTGAATTTATGATCTAGTTTTCTTCTAGAAAAAAATCTCTGTAACTTTAATTATAATGCACGAAATCTAATCATTAACATAATACACAAATACATGACAAAAGCTTGGATTTGAATCTTGGAAATTTGTGGAATTTGTTCGATAATCTTCTTCTAAGCGAAATTGGATTGAATGGATTTTTTAACAATTTAAAATGAGAATCTTTTTTAACAAAGATTATTAATTTTAACAAAGATTACATGAAAACCTTAATAAAAAAAATAATATAAATATTATTAATATAATTAATTAATAAAGAAATTAGTAAAGAAATTAGTAAAGAAATAATTATAACAAAAGATAATAATACTAACATTAATTTTAAATTATTATGTATTATCCATTTATTTTTATCTATCTATAATTAGCAATTTCTTTTTACAAATTCATTTTATACATATGATTTTAAATATTAATTTTAATTGTTAATTAAATAATCTATAGATTATAAAGATATATAAGTAAAATTTAAACATATAAACATATGGTGATAATTTTAATTAAAGTTTATTAACAATTATTTCCATCATCAAATTTTCTTGATTAATTTTATACCTTCGACTATATTTATAATTAGAAATGGAAAAAAATGATATAAATATATCATGTATTACAGCTTATTGAAGATTGGATCAGTGACTTGAAGATGAACCGTACCGGTCAAGTAACAAAACAATCAGAAGTGACTATGATATGGTCAATAGCGGTGTCGATATTTTGTGTAGGCGGAATGATCGGTGGTTCTCTGGTGGGTTCGATAGCCGATCGTTTTGGTAGAAAGGGTGGTCTGTTAATAAACAACATCCTAGTTCTCTTGACAGTAATTTTCGAAGGCTGCGCCAAAACAGCAAAGAGTTATGAAATGATAATTATAGGAAGATTTCTGATTGGTATTAATGCAGGATTAAACGCTGGTCTGGCGCCTATGTATTTATCTGAAATATCACCTATTCATCTACGAGGAGCTGTTGGAACGGTTTATCAATTAGTTATCACTATATCTATTTTGGTATCACAAATTCTTGGATTAGAACAAATTTTGGGTACGGCCGAACAATGGCCTCTTCTTTTATGCTTGACGATTGTGCCTGCAATCTTCCAAGTAATTGCTCTTCCATTCTGTCCCGAAAGCCCGAAATATTTGTTGGTCACTAGAGGAAAGGATATGGAAGCTCAGAGAGGTAAGTTTTTAATATTCCGCTAATCGCTTTCTTAAAATTATATGTCATTTTAAAATAGATTATATAATCAATTGTTTTCAACGTAAACAAACATATATTGTATTATTAGAGCGAAACATTTATTGATAACGAAAATATTATTTATTGCAGCTTTAGCTTGGTTACGTGGCACGATCGAAGTTCATGATGAAATGGAAGAAATGAGGACGGAATATGAATCAGTAAAACTTGTGCCAAAGGTTACATTGAAAGAATTATTTGTAAATTCTACTCTTAGAATTCCATTAATAATTGCGCTTATGGTTATGTTTGCGCAACAATTATCTGGTATAAATGCTGTAATGTTCTTTTCAACGAAAATCTTTATGATGGCACAGTTGGATAAAAATGCGGCTCAAAATGCAACATTAGGTGTTGGAGCAATGAATGTTCTTATGACTTTTATTTCTTTAATACTTGTTGAAAGAGCTGGAAGAAAAACATTGATGTTAATTGGATTTTCTGGAATGTTTATCGATACTGCCTTACTCGCTATTTGCCTTGCTTTTGCAGTAAGTATATTGTTATGAATGAATTAATATTGTTGAAAAAAAAAAAATGCTATAAAAACTTGTAAAATATGCAATATATTTTTTTTTCTTTTCTAGGAAACATCTCGTGCAGCAGCTTATTTCTCAATCGTATTGGTAATCATGTTCGTAGTTCTGTTTGCAACTGGACCAGGTAGCATACCTTGGTTTTTAGTATCTGAATTGTTTAATCAATCTGCAAGACCTGCAGCAACGTCCGTTGCTATAGCAGTTAATTGGACGGCAAATTTTATCGTCAGTATCGGATTCCTACCGCTGCAAGAAGCACTAGGTGCTTACGTATTCATTATTTTCGCCGCTTTACAAGCATTCTTCGTTTTCTTCATTTATAAGAAAGTGCCTGAAACGAAGAACAAAACAATGGAGGAGATTAGTAGCATGTTTAGACAAATATCGTATCAGTAAGAATTTTTATATTGCACTTAGAGAATTAATTACAATATTTTTAAAGAAACATTTCACAAATGAATGAATCGAATGTAGGTACGTAATTTTTTTAAAAAATCCGTGACTTGACTATAATAAGTATATCTATTTTTAAAAAATATATTTTTATTACGTTTTTATAAAAATTAAAGATAATATTTTTTAGCTAAAATTATATTTTTATTTTATGATAAATTAAAAGAATATTAGTTTAAATTTTGCATAACTTTTAAACATAATTTAAATGCTGTCAAGTCACGCATATTTTTTAAGAAGTTTGACTTTTAATTTTAAATTTAAACTTAGTTCCTATTGTTACCGGCACAATAAACTTATAGCAACAAACAAGAAGAGTATCAGATTAATAACAAAATATAAAAGAACTAGTAAATTAATTACTTATCTCAACAAATTTATTTTTTTAAATTCTTTGTTTCTCTTTCTATAAAATTAATTTCGAACGAAATTAATAATATAATGTAGCCCAAATTTTAGTTTTAGATAATTATACAGAGCTCAAAAAAGATAAATATTAAGAGATAAATATTTTATTTATAAAATATATTTTTATCAAAAAACAACAAATTACATAAATAAGGAAATTGATGATAAATAGATATATAAACAAAAAACATATTAAATATAAAATATTATATTAAATATTTAACTCGCAGTTCCTTAAGAATAATTGAGAAAATTAAATGACAATTATTCATTTTTAGTAGACATTCTTCTATCTTCAAAAAAAATGAAGAGGCGATATTATTTAACTATATTGATACTAATTATTATAATTCTAGTCATAAAAATATAATATTTTTTAATTAAAATGATATTTGGAAAATTTTATTAAGATTCATATATATTTTTCATTGCTGTAAAAATTATATTTTTAATATAATTTTATTAGAATATAAAAAATATTTCAATTTGTTTAAAATCTTTAATAAAAATTAATTTTACATTAAAGATCTCTAAAATATTTATAAATGTCTATATATATTTAATATGATATAAATATAGCATAAAACTGTTGGAACTTGTGAGATTCATTTTCGAAAAAATTTTATTATTATAAAACTTAAAAATTTAAAACATTTTTAAAATTTTTACACATTTTATTTGTTTCATGTATAAATTTATATGAACTTATGCAAATTTTGTTGTATGAGCTATGAAAAAAAATTTTATCAAAATGAGAAAAATTAAAAAAACTGTTACTCTTGTACATAAAAATATCATAGGATAGTATCGTATAGCGTAGAAAAAAATATTATATATTTATACATGCATGTAATTAGTGAATGTTTAAATCTGTATACCGTTAAATCTGTATATCGTTGTATATTTATTAGATATTTAATTAATACGAAAAATAACCAAAAATCATGTTAAAATATCGTAATGACATAAGTTAGAAATATTAAGCAACGTTCCGCAGTAAATTATGAACAACAACATATATCTATGAATGCAAATAATACTCAAACTTAGTTCTATTTTTTATGCTTTTTATGCTATTAAATTTATTTTAAAATTCAAGTTTTCATAGTGTGCCGGTGTATATCATAAATACATTCAATAGTGAATTTTAATTCTTAAATGCTGAAATATATAAAAATATATAATTAAAATTAAAAATATTGTGAAATATGACATCAGATCATATTAGATTTATATCTTAAGTATGTCTAATTGTAAATGTAATTAGATAAATAATACTTTTAAAAATAATTTAGTTAAATGTTAAATTTTTACAAAAATTTTGCAAGATAAAAAATTTTTGAAAATGATCGATTTGTATTTTGATATTTTTAGATGTATTTAATAATATTTTAGTAAATAATATTTACGATGTTCTTATGTAATATATATATATATAATTCTAAAAAAATTGATCATATCAAAATATCTTATATTTCAATAAATGAGGTAACGACCAAGTAGAATTGAAATAATAAGACAAACGAAAAATTATTAGATATATTTCAATCGTTAAATTATATGCAATTATTAAATCACTTCATACCTACGAAACACACTGGCATACTATATTATATTATATATAATAATAATAATACATACAACAATAAATAATTTTTAATTTTTGCTTACTAAATTTTCTCAAAAATTTTTTTCTGAGAGAGAAATTAGAATTTTATCTAAATATTTATTAATACCAGAGGCTTGAGTAAATAATAATCTATTTTATTATTTATAATATAAAAAATTAAGAATTCTGTCATAATATATATAGATTCTATAATTAATATTCATAAACGTCAGATAAACAGTAAAGAAAAACATTTATATATATATATATATATATACATATATGTATATATATATATACATTTAAATACCTAAAAATATTATTTCTTTTAACTGGCGTGTATGGATTATAGTTTTAGTATACTTAAAAATAAATTTATATATGTATAACAGGCAATAAATTATTTATCTATATTTAATATTTGAAATCAAAACTTCTATATTCAAAGTTTTAAATATATGGCTAGCGTTATAAAAATATCGAATTACATGAAAAATGAGTACAACGCAACATGTTTGTAATTTAATTTTGAATTTTTGTATTCATTAATTATATTTCATAAGTATTTTGCGGTACAATTACAGCATTTAGTGTTAGCTTCTTCTTTTATACGTAAAACTTATCAATTATTCATATTTTTTCTTTTTCTTTCTCCTTTTTTTCTTTTTTCTCCTTAAAAAATTAACACATATATAAAAAAAATATAATGAAATAATTCATAAATATTGCGCTATATTATATTATGTTGTTATTATTTACACATTAGAAAGTTATTACAATTCATAAAATCGTGGCAATTATTTAAATAATTTTTACATCATATCAATTTTAGTTTTACGACATATTATAAAAACATGTATCATATTATAGACTGTAACTTTTGATGCCAATATATAAATTATCATTATAAAAATTATATATGTAATATTATTGAGTATGAATTTTAGTTATTGTAATTTAAGCTGGATATATTTATCATTTATAGTTTATTAGCTTAAATTTTAAATAAAATTATTAAATTGTGAATTTAAGAACATTAATTAAATATTCCTTCATACTTAATATAAAAATTGTTCATTACATATGTCTAAATATTTATATATATATATATATATTATATGTATATGTAATATAAAAATAAATATTTAAAAATAAATTTTTATAAAATGACATTATATAATATTACAATATATTATATTATCGAAAAATTTTTAAAATTATTATGTAATTGATAAAATTGATATAAAAAAAAATATGAAAAGTAATAAAAAATAATTTAATATTAAATTTTAAAGACAAATTCTTCTTTAAATTAAAAAAAAAATGAAGAAATTAAAAATAAGACCTATATATGTATAAAATGAATGAAATAAACTAAACAAATTTATAAAACCAAATAAAATACCAAATAAAACCAAAAATACAAAATTAATACAAAAAAAATCAAATAAAAATAAAATTAATAAACAATTGTAATTATATTTAATAATTTATATAATACAATTAATGTATAAGATTTATTATCGCAAATATATTGTTCGAATCTCTATGAGAATAGAGGATAAAAAGAAAAATTTGCAAATCTGCGGGATTTTGTTTGAATTTTTTGATATTCATCGATGTCAAAGTAGTTGATCGATGGAACTAAATGAAATAACAAAGTTTATTCTTGTTACCGCGAGATGTCAGGAGTTTAGGATGCTACGAAGCGAGAAACGCCGCGCGCGGCTCGCATCGTTCATCAGAGTAAACACACAAGTGCGATCTCGGACGACAGACACCTCGTGTACTGCCAATGGCAGATACTTAGTGACGAATGTGTTCAAACACGAAAAAATTAAGACACAATATCTTTTAAAACAAAGTGTTTATAAAGTCGATCGTGCAAAGGATCGGTAAAGAGTGATGATATGTGACGGGAATAGAGAGCGACGGTGAGGGCATCGTCAGTGAAGGTATTGTCAAGACGCTTAATGTGCGCGGTGCGGGCGCGTGGTACGCTCGAGGCGGCCACAAATGAAGAAGTGGGAAGTTACGGTGAGGGTGGTAGAGAGGGAAGATGTCGAGTGGCTCGGCCTCGAAACTCGTGAACGGTGAGAATAAGAAGGAGAACGTTCACGGGTACGAGTACGGGAACAGGAAAGAAAACGAGAGCGGCGCTGCTGGCAGCACTGGCTCTTCCATAGTTGCTCTTGCTGATGGTACTAGTAACGCTACTACTATTGTTACTATTGTCGACGCTGGTACTACTGGATCTAGTATTACTAGTGACAGCGGTAGTGGTAGTGGCTGTGGTAATGGTGGTAGTGGTTGTTCCACCAGTAGTGATAACGGTGACAGTGGTAGTAATAGCGGTGTCTGTGTTACCGGCTTGACCGCCGAGGGCGTCGTCGGCGTGGAATTTTACGACGTTAATTCCGATCTCAAGACACCTGAGAATCATGAAGATATACGCAATGAAAAAGATGTGAACTCGAGAACGGAATACAACGAAATTGAATTTCAAGATTCGTACACAAGAACGTGTATTGAGACGCCAATCGTCAATCTCACCACTACTACCACTACCACCACTACTACTACCACCACCATTACCATCATTGAGCACGACGATCGAACGACTACAACCGTTCCTACTCCTTATTACGAAGAAGACGAGGAAGAAGATAACGAGGAGGACGACGACAACATGGTCGCGGCGATGAACGAACACTTGTCTACCACGTCGGCGACTAGCGGCGTTCGAAGCAACACAGTCTCGACGACCACTACCACTGTTAATTCTGTTGTTAACCAGAATAACAATTGCTCCCGCAATGAATTCCAAAACGTTGACGAGGATGGTAAACCAGCCGCTGGAATACTTAGTTTTCCTTGTGATTTTGATCATATGTACGCCAGCATGACAGACAGTGGAGCTCCGGCAGCAGCTACTGCTACCTCTGCTCTTGGTGTCAGTCCTCTTCGAGGTAATGAACCACGTCAAAACGATCTCACAGAAGTCAAACATCTTAAGGAGCTCTTACTTCTTCATCTCGATTTGATTCAACAACAATCTGAGCAAATTGTCACCAAGGATAAACTCTTAGCAGCTTTGCGACAGGAAAATGAAACGGTACTTTTCTTTTCTTT